GTTAGGAAACCAGATGCAATTTAGCTGCATTTCCTGCTTCAGTGTTGTTCACAGGCAGCAATCAAAGCATTGGCAGGCTGCAGTCATCTTAAGGCACTCCTGGGGAAGAACCACTTCCAAACTCATTTATGTGGTTGAAGGTAGGATTTAATCCTTGTGGGTTGTTGGACTGAGGGGTTCAGTTCCTTGCTGGCTGTTGGCCAGAGGCTGCCCTTAATTTCTTGCCACATGGGTCTCTCTCACATGGTAACTTGCTTCATCAAAGTGAGAAAGCCAAGAAAGCAAGAGAGTCTTCTAGCGGGAGAGAGCATCCTACAAAGATGAAAGTCGAAGTCTTTGGTAACTTAATCATGGAAGTTAAGTCCCATCACTTTTGATGTATTCTATCCTTTAGAAACAAGTCACAAGGTCCAACCCACACTCAAGAAGAGAGGATTACACAAAAGCATGAACACCATCTTAGAAGTCTACCTACCACACACAGTAGTACACTGTGAATTAGAAGCATGCTCAGATTGAGAAGTATTAACCAAATCTTTATTTGACTTGTTTACTTTTTTAAAGTAACTTTTATCAACAGTATACAGTGATTCTAAGGTATTACACAGAGAGAGAGAAAGAGAGAGGTTAACTTGGAATTTATTCTGCTCTTATCTTAGAACTCTAAAGCTGTTTAAAAACTTTTTTTTTTTTTTTTTTTTTTTGGGACGGAGTTTTGCTCGTTACCCAGGCTGGAGTGCAATGGCGCGATCTCGGCTCACGGCAACCTCCGCCTCCTGGGTTCAGGCAATTCTCCTGCCTCAGCCTCCTGAGTAGCTGGGATTACAGGCACGTGCCACCATGCCCAGCTAATTTTTTAGTAGAGACGGGGTTTCACCGTGTTGACCAGGATGGTCTCAATCTCTTGACCTTGTGATCCACCAGCCTTGGCCTCCCAAAGTGCTGGGATTACAGGCTGAGCCACCGCGCCCGGCCATAGCTGTTTAAAAACTTTTAAGTGACACTTAGGATGGAAATAGGAGCTGTCTGACCTTTATATCTGCTTCCCTCTGCCCCAGCCAAGTATGGTCATCAACTGGTTCAAGGGGTGTAGTCACACTGTGACTGATCCCCATGGTTGCCCAATCACAGTTGCTTCCCAAATTCTCAGTGCTTTACATTTCCCAGGGTACAAGGTAACGCCATGATGGGGGTGAAGTGAGAGAGCTAAGATGTGGGCTGGAGTCTTTTTGTGGCCAATCCTAAAGAGATTTTTTCTCTTCTCCAAGTGGAAAAGGCTCCTGGTCTATTGTTTCCAGTCTGTTGCTCTGTGGAATAGTGAAATCCACAGAATGGAATCTGATAACCTTTCTTTCATAAATATGGACCCCATTATTCTTAATCAAGGGTTTGAGATTTATTTAATAAGTGGTTTGTTTTGGAATTCAAAACTACAATTTTGCTTTTTGATTATTATATCCACTTTGAATTCAAACAATCCATGTAGGGATTCAAATGACTTCTTTGTTCTGGGATCTGTGGGTGCTCACCTGAAGGAAAGTTCACACCATGGTCAAATAAATTTAAAAAAAAAAAAAAAAAAAAAAAAGCTGAGATCAGTACATTTTTAATATCTGGCACATAGGTTTTGGTTTGAAATGTTAAGATCATTTTTAAACTCTCCAAGTGATTCAGAGTCACAGCCATGTTTGGAAATCCCTGATTTTCAGCACCTATTTTGTGTTCAGATCAGTGTCACTAGCTGAGTAACACTGGACATGTTATTGCTTTAAGCCTTAATTTTCTCATCTGTAAAATAAAATTATTTTATGTAACTTATACATAACATCTGTTATTAGAAGTGAATATGATAACATCTATAAAGCTTTTACCTCAATGCCTGAAACATTGCAAACACATAAGGTGAGCTGTGTTATTATAATCATGCACTAAAACATAATAAACATGAAATACTGGTCATCAGTGAATCGATTCAAGTACATAATATATCCCTGTCAACTTTCCAGGTTTATTTTTAGGATATCTTCCTGGGTTATTTTGAGGATATATGTTATAGCACATTTTAAATTATTCAACTACCACATAAATATAAGGTCATATTTTAATTTTATTCTTTCATTCATTTGAGTGCTATTCTGGGCACTGGAGACACAGCAATGAGCAAGACACACAGGCCACTGACTACAGAGAAATTGCACACTAATAGGGGCAACAGACAATAGACCTAAATTATTTATAATGTGCTGTCATTAGTGATCATTTCAGCCAGGCAGGGAGGCATACAACTGTAAAGCTGGGGGTGGGTGGCATCTACTTTAGAGGGGATGGGCAAGATGGATCTTTTAAGGAAGACAACTGAGCAGAGATTAAAGAAAGTAAGGGAGTGAGTAATGGGAAGTTCCAGGGGTGATGGGAGCTTTCCAGATGAAGGAACCACAGGGCAAGTAACTCTGAAGAACCATGTGAACCTACTTAAAAACATGGGCCAGGCACAGTGGCTCACACCTGTAATCTCAGCACTTTGGGAGGCCAAGATGGGCAGATCACGAAGTCAGTAGATCGAGACCATCCTGGCCAACATGGTGAAACCCTGTCTCTACAAAAAATGCTAAAACATTAGCTGGGCATGGTGGTGCACGCCTGTAGTTCCAGCTACTTGGGAGGCTGAGGCAGGAGAATTGCTTGAACCCAGGAGGCGGAGATTGCAGTGAGCCGAGATCGCGCCACTGCAGGGCCCACTGAGCAAGAGCAGGTAAGAGAGAGGCCATGCACCACACTGTGGGACATGGGGAAAAAAAAAAAGAAACTTTCCTAAGAGCGCAAGAAAACCATTTAGGGGTCTTCATAACAAGTCAAATAATCTGATTTACATTTGTGTTGTAGAAAAATATACATAACATAAAATTTACCATGTTAACCACTTTAAGTGTACGATTCAGTAGCATTAAGTAAGGTCACAACGTGAGGCAATCAACTTTACTATTTTCAGAATATTTTCACTATTCCAAACAGAAGCTCAGATCCACTGAACACTAACTCCCCAGCCTTCCCTCCCTTCTCACTGGTTACCACAAATCTGCTTTCTAGCTCTATGAATTTGCCTATTCTAAGCACCCCAGTTAAGTGAAAACAGTCAATATCTGTCCTTTTCTGCCTGACTTAGCACAATGTTTCAAGTTTTACCTATGTTACATCTTGAATCAGAGTTTCAATTTATATTTTTAAAAGATGATTTTTGCTGTTGCTGTTATGCTAAGACCCCATAGTACAAGAGGAAAAACAGAGAGAATGAGACAGAATGCTGTAACCTGGTGAGAGATGATAGAGGTTTGGTTCAGAATAACACCAGCAGCAATGATGAGAAAGGACCAGATTTGGGATCTATCTACCTACCTACGTATCTACCCACCCTCTCTCTCCCTGTCCCTCTCTCTCTCTGTCCCTCTCTATCCCCCCACTTCTTGGTGTGTGTGTGTGTGTGTGTCTGTGTCTGTGTCTTGCATGCCCAACAGTAGCATAGTGCATCTGGCCCAGGCTATAGCCAAAGTTGTGATTGATTTTCAGTGAACTTCCTCCACCTTGTGCTGCTGTACCAGCCCCTCAGGCTGAAACCACAGACATCTCTAACCACCTGCCAAGCCCAAGGAGCAAGTATTCATGCAGTTTTTTAAATGTTATCAGCACCCACTTTGGAAAAGGTATGGAATCTTCTAAGATGGCTGCTTTGTAGAACAATACTCAACTGGATGTTTGATTCAGAGTTTTGTTTAAAACACCAGCCTCCTTTCTTTATCTAGATACAAACCCGTTTTCTGTTCACCCCCCAATAAGCATTTCCTAATTCACTTCAACGTCCGGCATTCTGACAATCATTGTGAGTAGTTAAAAACTATAACACATGGTCTTTTCCCTTTAATCTAGTTTGGGGTATAAGGCATGAACAGTATGAGACAATGAGAAAATAATTTATGACCAATTTAATATTAAACACAGAACACTGAATTATAAACCAGGAGACCCTCTACCAAAGTGTGGTTAAAGTAACAGTATGTTGCAATCAATTATTCAGTTTCATTCAAAGTAAACTCCATTTTGACAGATTATATTTTCTAAAGATGACTGCAGCAATACCTCCTATCCCATGGGCTCTTTGAGAATTCACAATGACTATCCAGAGGTGGTATTTACACCCCTGTCCTTTATCCTGGGCAGGCATGAGACTGTCTCAACCAATAAGTAGGACAGAGTGGTACTATGTGAATTCTGAAGCAAAGTCATAAAAGTATCATGTATTTTGGTCTTGTTTCCCTAGGATGTTTCCTTTTGGAAAGAGGTTATGAAGAAGCCCAAGCAGCCTGTAGAGGGGCCCACATAGAAAGAAGCAAGGCTCCTACCCACCAAGCCCCCAGCCTCCAGCCAGCAACCCCCAGTCCTGGCTGAGCTTCCAGCTAGCAGTCAGCACCACTTTACACTGATGGATGTGAGTGATCCCCCTTTGAAGCGGACCCTCTCGCCCCCTACTGCAACACCACTACTGACATTGGACCCACCTCTCTGAGCCATGTCCAAACTACAGATTTGTGAGCAAAATTAATGTCTTTTTAAACCCACTACATTTTAGCTAGTCTGTTTCTCAGCAATAGGTCACTAGAGCACCCCCCTCCCCACCCCATGACAAACTTCACTTTTACTTGTATTAAACTAGGAGCTCTTAAATAGGAGAAAAGGGCCAGGCGTGGTGGCTCACACCTGTAATCCTAGCACTTTGGGAGGCTGAGGGGGGCAGATCAAGAGGTCAGGAGTTCGAGAACAGCCTGACCAGCATGGTGAAACCCTGTCTCTACTAAAAATACAAAAATTAGCTAGGCGTGGTGGCGTGCCTCTGTAATCCCAGTTACTCAGGAGGCTGAGGCAAAAGAATCACTTGAACCCAGGAGGCACAGGCTGCAGTGAGCCAAGATCACGCCACTGCACTCCAGTTTGGGTGACAGAACAAGATTTCATCTCAAAAAAAAAAAAAAAAAAAGGGGGAGAAAAAAGGATGGAGTTACATTAGCATTTTGGAAAATGAACATAACCCACAACCTGTCTTAATTAGGCCCAATTTCACTAACAGTAATTGTTAGCAGTGTGCCATTTATAGTTATTCAATAAACATAAAATGATTCTACAAATACTATGTAACAAAATTAGCTTGCAGATCCAGAAGATGCCTCTATAGTTTTGTCAGAATCTGAGTGTTCTTGAACGTTAATAATATCCATGCTCCTGAACAAAAAGAATAGATTTTTTTGTGCCAAAAGGGTTTGGAGAAGGGGAAAATGAATGAGAGTTGGGGTAGGAAGACATCCTTGGACCTTTGGTGACTGTTGAAGAAAGAGTCGCAGTGTATACCAAGTAAGGGATATAATACACACAGACACATACCACATGGTGGGATACAGGCTCAGTTTCTTTTATGGACCAATTTAACTAAAACAGAAGAGAGATCTTAAGAAGTGAATGAAAAGGTGATGCCAACTTGCTGACAAAGCTACAATGTAAAATCCTTTAGTAGTGGTTTTAAATCTACATGGCAGCTTCCAGTAATTGCTGACAATTTGCCTACTGTATTTACATACATTAACGAGGAATCCAAATAAATCTCCTTTTCATGAATTCTCCACTGTCTCTGAGACAAGCAACAACACATTTCATTAAAAGGAAGTTAACTTTATTTTTCTCAAACAGCTCCTCAGAAGTTAAAATACATATATATCTTGGTTATGCTGCTTCTTCCTCAAATAAATTCAATGTGTCTATAAGACAAAGAGATGAATGGTATAAATTAAATTCTCAGTTGTCTCGGTATTTATTTATCCTAATAGCTTCAGTAAAAACCATTTGACAACAGTACATGTTAGCTGATAGGCAGTTTCAAAATTACAGGAATGTAGTCCTCATTTAGGTAAAGTCAACCTACCTCTGTCTTCGATCACCATTTCAAAATCCTATTCCCATGCTTTAGTATTTACATATTCATTGATTCACCCATTAACCAATATGTTCTAAGCACTCTTCCAGTCTCTAATGTCTGTGGCTACAGAGTCTCCAGGACTACTTTCAGGTACTCAAGTCTCTGAAACAATGATTTGTTCAACTCTGGAAACAGATAGCACTTCCCAAGGTCATTGAGGTACCCTGATAAATAGCTCTCCTCTTACTGTACAAATTCTAAATCAAATAAGATCAATATGTTGCAAAATATCACTCAGATAAAACTGAGTTGGTGGATGTCATTTATGTCTGTGAGCAAGCGACTTTCCCACAAACTGAATCCCGGAAATCAACAGACATAACCTGTGTTAAACCAGAGATGGCTTCCTGTTCCTGACCCTCAAATTGGCAGAGCCTCTCTGTAGGGGAAAAGAATGGAATGTGCTCCTTGCTAACAAGAAGGAAGCAGAAGGACTAGAGCTATAGATGCCCATTTCTCTCTTCAGATTCCCAAACAGAGTAAGAATGACAAGATAGGTCATAAGTCTTACCGCAAGCGAATTGCTTGCACACAGAGCAGGAGTGGGCAAATTATGGTCTACTTTGGGACATAAAATGGGTCATTTTATGAAAAATTTGGCCCATTACATTTTTTGTACAGCCCACAAACCAAGAATGGTTTTTATGTTTTTGAATGGTTAAAAAAAATCAAAAGAAGAGTATTTCATGACACACGAACATTATATGAAATTCAAATTCCAGTGCACACAAATAAAGTTTTATGAGAACACAGCCATACTCATTTGTTTACATGTTGTTTATGGCTACTTTCTCACTCCAATGGCTTAGATAAGTAGTTGTGAAAAAGACTGTATGGCCCACAAACCCTAAAATATATGCTATTTGACCCTTTACAGAAAAAGTTTGCTTACACCTACATAAAAGAAACATTTTTTTCTTTTGAGGAAGCATTCTCCCTGGGACTATTCTAGAGACAGAATGTCCTTTTATCATTTTGTCTTTATTGTAGGACCACCATTCTCTCAGTTCCCTATCCTTCTCCCTCCCTCAAAACCAGGCAGGAATTTTATGACTTTCCTTAACCCCTTATTTAATTAATTATAATTTGTTTTCTGTTTATTTGTTCTTTAAAAAGTCTTCAAATCATTCCAAGATCTCTACAACAATTTTCCAATTAGTTTTCTTTTTATTTATTTTTTCTTTTTTGAGACGGGATCTCACTCTAGCCCAGACTGGAGTGCAGCGATGGGATCACAAATCACCTCAGGCTCGAAATCCTGGGCTTAAGATATCCTGCTATCTCAGCCTCCCACTATTAACTTCTTCTCATACCTCTATAGTCCTTTAGAATTGAAAATAACTTTAGAGAGTTTCTGTTCAATCCCCTCATTAGCAAAATGAGGAAACTGTTACTTTGTGAGCCAAATGACTTTCCCCAATTTGCAAATCTAATTTTTGATCGACTAGAACTAGACTCTCTCCCAAAACATAACTCAGTGATTCCTCTGTCATACTCATAGCATACTCTCTCTATGTTGTACTCATTATGAAATTTTCAGATTCCCATTGATCAAGTCAAATTTATAATCTAGGCTGTGAATCAGAGAACTGTAGACTGTGGGACAAACTTTGCTGTTTTTGCAAATAAAGTTTTATTGGAACACAACCACAATCATTTACTTATCTATGGCTGCTTTTGCACTATAGTGACAGAGTTGAGTAGCTGCACCACAAACTGCATGGTTCACAAAGCCTAAAATATTGACTATCCAGTTCTTTCCATAAAAACTTTGCTTTTCTGATCTACAGCCCTAACCTAGACCACCCAAAGTATTCTCATTCCTTATCACTTTCTATAGCACTTATGGCTTGTTTTCTATATCTGCTCTTAATTTCTATAATAATGAAACTTCTGACTATTTTAACCAAGCACATGGCAGACTGAACTTAAGACATTGCTCAGCTTCATTTGTAACTTGGTGTGGCCAGTGGAATAAATGGGATGTCAATGGACTTGTGCATGCAATTTCTAGGAAGTGTCCTTAAAGGAAGAAAGATAGTTTACTCTTCTTTTTTGTATCCTTCTTTCTAGCTAGACTGATAACAACATAACTGAAAAGTCATCTCACACATGGATGATCTTGGACCTAGAATTAATATATGTTAGAGCAACAAGATGGAAAGATCCTGGATCCTTGACATCAGAGTTTTTCTACCATCCTCAGACTATTTACGTCTGGATGTTTATATGAGCAAGAAATACAATTCTCTGTTAAACAAACCTCTGCCAATTAGGATTTTTCTGTCTGTACTTGATTCTAAGTGATGCACTTATAATAGAAATTTTTCTTCCAGACAGGCCAGTACCTTTCTAGTTTGCTGAATTAGCCATGCTTTTTCTCACACCTCCATTCTTTTGCTCATGCTGCTAGCTCATGCTGGATTGCCCACTCTTTCCTCCTCCATTTGGCTACATTTTACGAATTCTTCAAAGCAGTTGAAGTTCTATCTCCACACTGAAGCACTTCACTTCTCTTTTCCCATTTAGAAGTCAGTACAATATGTCTGGACAACTGAGATTGCACACTGTATTATATTCTTTTAGTTATGTGTTTTGGTATTTTATGCCCAATGATAATGTAGACTTGTACAGGATTAGGATCATTTATTTTTGTTTCTGGTGCCCCAATGCTATAGTTAACTACAAAATATTTGTTTAATTTACTTTAATAAATTTGGGCAAAAGTAAGCCAAACATAGCCATGAGTTCACAGGCTCTCATACTTTAAACTCAGATATGTTTTTGACGCCTGAATCATAATGTGTAAATCAACCAATGGGAGATTTGTCCCAGGTGAGGTCATTCAAAATGGGATATGATATACATTTAGCCAAAAAAATTATGTGCTGTCTAGTAAAGCCACCATGAGATAATTCATACTAGTGTCACGTATGCTAAATTGGACAAATGTGCCACATAATCTGTTTTAGTCCATTCCTGCTGCTAAAACAAAATACCATACACTGGGTAATTTATAAATAATAGAAATGTATTTCTCACAATTCTAGAGGCTGGGGAGTCCTAGATCAAGGTGCCAGTAGATTCGGTGTCTGGGGAAGGCGACTGTCTTTTTTTTAACTTTTCTTTTTTAAAAATTTTTCCATAAGTTATTGTGGTACAGGTAGTTTTTGGTTACATGAGTAAGTTCTTGAGTGGTGATTTGTGAGATTTTGGTACACCCGTCACCCAAGCACTATACACTGCACCGTATTTGTAGTCTTTTGTCCCTCAACCCACTCCCACTCTTCCCCCGAAGTCCCCAAAGTCCATTGTATCATTCTTAAGCCTTTGTGTCCTCATAGGTTAGCTCTTACATATTAGTAAGAACATTGATTGATGTTTGGTTTTCCATTTCTGAGTTACGTCACTTAGAATAATAGTCTCCAGTATCATCCAGGTCACTGCAAATGCTGTTAATTCATTTCCTTTTATGGCTGCATAGCATTCCTTCATACACATATATACTACAGTTTCTTTATCCACTCATTGATTGATGGGCATTTGTGTTGGTTTCACAATTTTGCAATTGTCAATTGTGCTGCTATAAACATGTATGCGCAAGTATCTTTTTTGAACGACTTCTTTTCTTCTGGGAAAAGATATCCAGTAGTGGGATTGCTGGATCAAATGGTAGTTCTACTTTTAGTTCTTTAAGGAAACTCCACACTGTTTTCCATAGTGGCTGTACTAGTTTACATTCCCATCAGCAGTATAGAAGTGTTCCCTGTTCACTGCATCCATGCCAACATCTGTTTTTTGATTATTTGTTTATGGCCATTCTTGCAGGAGGAAGATAGTATCACATTGTGGTTTGGATTTGCATTTCCCTGAAAGTGAAGGCTACTTTGTTTCCACAATGGCCACATTCTCTGGAGGGGGCAAAGCCTGTGTCCTCACCTAGCAGAAAGAATGGAACGGCAAAAGGTATAGGGCACTTCCTTTAATCTCTTTTATATGAGTACTGATTCACTTATGAATGCAGAACTTTTATGACTTAATCACTTCACTTTCCAAAAACACCCCACCTTTTAATACTATCACATTGGGTTCCAAGGTATGGTATTTGAAAGGGCACATACATTCAAACCATAGCACTCTCATTGCAGTAACTGGATATAATTCCACATTTAGTTTTCTCCTTTATGAGATGCTTTGTAGCCCTGGATGCCAGCCAGCCATACATAATATTAGACAGATAAATTTAAGCTAAGGTCAAAAGCTAGTAAGATACTGCTTATACTTGTCCCAGTTCATGAAGCAAAGAGAAACATAATGGCTTGTCAAGAGCTTGAATGTCAATGCTCAAACATTTCTTAAATCTACATCCAAGCAGTTTGCCCCCTGTGGAACTGTACATCTTGTTTATCTACAAGGCATATGGCCATTTGTATAAGCCCAGCCTGCAGTTCTTAAATGGTGATGTGTAGTCTGTCTATTCACATTAGCTTATGGCAGAGTTCTTAGAACATTCTTACGAATTAATTGATTGCAGCGTCAGCCAAAAGCCTACCTAGAAACAAGTGCCAGGGGCTGCTGAAGAGAAAATAGAGTTAGAGTCATATAGGCACTGATTTTTTTTTTTAGTGCATGAAGATTGCTTGCCCCCAGTTCTTTCCACTTGCAATTTGAGGTAGCTCTATGACCAAACTCCCTTGGGAGGGCAGACAGTTGCCTATGTGCAGAGGAAAATGAGATCATAGAAGAGAAACTTGTCAGATGGCACGGGAACAGAGGGCGCTC